TGAAGAGGAAAATGAAGTAGTGATAGAAGAGCATCCTGATGAAGAAAATCCATTAGCTAACTATAACTTAGTTAGAGATAAAGAGAGAAGGCAAATGAGAGAACCTAGGAGGTTCGGGTATGAATCTGAATTGGATTTTGCATACGCTAGTTACGAAGAACTAGTTGATCGGGAGCCAGAAACTTTTGAAGAGGCTATGAATAGTGGTCAATCTAAGGAGTGGCTTGAGGCTATGAAAGAAGAAATGAGTTCTCTAGGAAAGAATCAAACTTGGGAGTTAGTACCGAGACCTAAGAATAAATCAATCGTTGATTGCAAGTGAGTCTTTAAGGTTAAGGAAGGTACTAGTAGTTCAGAACCCTTAAGATTTAAGGCTAGGTTAGTAGCAAAGGGTTACACACAGAAAGAAGGTGTTGATTATAACGAGATTTTCTCACCAGTTGTCAAGTACACTACTATTAGGGTCATGCTCGCATTGGTTGCGCTTTTTGACTGGGAACTTGAACAACTCGATGTAAAAATCACTTTTTTACATGGAGAGCTTGATGAACAAATCTTTCTGAAGCAACCAAAAGGTTTTAAAGACAAGTTAAAACCTGATTATGTGTGTTTTCTGAAAAGATCCCTATACGGTCTAAAGCAATCACCTAGACAGTGGTACAAGAGGTTTGATTCCTTTGTACTCACTATAGGATTTCAAAGAAGTAAATTCGATCACTGCCTATACTTTCAACATAACGAGACTGATAACAATTATTTGTTCTTGTTGCTCTATGTGGACGACATGCTTTTAGTTGGATCATCTCCTAAGTGGATAAACAATATAAAAGCAGATCTTAGTGGAGAATTTGACATGAAAGACCTAGGAAAGGCTAAAAGGATTCTAGGCATGGAAATAGAACGAAATAGGTCAAATTTCATCGTATTCTTGCATCAGTCTCCATACATATCAAAGGTGTTGAAAAAGTTTAATATGAGTGACTGCAAACCTGTCACGTTGCCTCTTGCAAACCATTTTGTTCTATCTAAAAAACAAGCTCCCTGCAATGAACGTGAAGTGGAATACATGAGTAAAATTCCATACTTAAATGTGATTGGTTCCATAATGTATTTGATGGTTTGCACTAGACCGGACTTAGGATTCGCTACTAGTACTCTCAGTAGGCACATGTCTAATCCAGGTCCTGAACATTGGGAAGCATTAAAGTGGCTTTTAAGATATTTGAAGGGTACAAGTGACGTAGGTCTAAAATTTAGTGCTAATAAAGAAAGCGTGAAATTAAAGGGTTTTGTAGATGTTGACTATGCAGGAGATAGGGATGGTAGGAAATCAACTTCCTCTTACGTATTTACCTTATCAAATTCGTGTGTTAGTTGGAAATTACAATTACAACACATAGTTGCACTATCCACTACAGAGTCAGAATATATTGCCACCACCGAAGCAATTAAAGAGGCTCTATGGCTTAGAGGTCTACTTCATGAACCGAGTGTCTTGAATGAGTATGTGGTTGTGTATTCTGATAGTCAGTCATCCATACATCTGTGTAAGAATCCTGTTTTTCACGAACGCACTAAACATATCGATGTTAGGTTACACTTCATTAGGGATATAATATCACAAGAAGTAGTAAGACTTGAAAAAATTCACACACAGTATAATCCTTCAGATATGGGCACGAAAGTGCTGTCACTAGTAAAGTTTAGAAGTTGCAAAGAACTTCTAAACATCGGTACAGGTAAATGATTTCAATTTTATCGGTTTTTCTGTTAGAGGTGTCACTAATGGAAAAACGTTTTTTTTGCAGGTCCTTTGACACCAAGGTGGAGGTTGCTAGACATGATGTCGTCAAACGACCTCCCGGACGATGAGGAAAACCAATTTTATCAGTCGACATGAATGACTGAACGATAATTCAACATCGAATAATGGACGAACCGACCAAACGTTGCTTTACCTATTGGACGGCTAATACTCTTTGTGGCTTGTTGTTTCTTTCCATTGGAAATTAACCCTAGTCGAGCCTACTTACCATAACTTGACTTACCTTATGTTGGCCACTTAACATATATATATATATTGGTGTTTTTCTTTGACTCCTTACCCTCGTCCATATAGAACTCGAGAGGTAAAGAGAGACTGCCGTTCTTCTCTTGTGCCTTCTTCTTCGTGATTTGTTTTCCATGCCAATTGCTTGAGCCTTTGTGACTCTTACTTGTGTGGTATCCATCCTAAGTGTGTGGATTGAATCAACAAGCAAAAGAGGAAAGCAACCATAGGAGAAGAGGCGCCGGCGGGTTTGGTCACCTTTGGTTTTGGTGTTGAATTCGATGTTTAATGGTTAACTGAGCCCAGAAATCACTTTGAGCAGCTTAAGGAAGATCCTAACAATTGGGATAACTTTCCATAGTTTTTCGATAGCATCCACAAGTCCTTTGAACAAGACCACATATCATTAAGGAGATTATAAGGTCGAGCTCAGTCTCTTTAACATCTAAATTGGACATCGAACCTACATATGCCATGATCATTCTAGGTCATTCTTATGTCATGATCTTCAAAGTTAATGAAGTACGCGATTTAAAAGTTGTAAATTCCATAAATATTCGGTTGAAATTAATTATTGGCCTTGATTAAAATTGAAATCTAAATTAAAATCTCTACCAAACATGGGTCTAATACACATCTGGCTCTAGCCCTCCTCACAATATGATCAGGCCACTGCCTTAGTTACCACAAAGATTGGGATCCCAACCCTTCACATACTTCTATCAAGTTCTATCCTCAATCACAAATATTGTATCTTGGCCTCTACCTCGCCATAAATTTCTAAACCTTATAAGAAATAAAAAAGGATCAACAATAATTTGGTCATGCTCGGCCCCCTTGCCTGTGGTTAGCATCTCCTTATGCTTGCATGTCGTGCTCAGCCCCGACTTATTATCTAGGCATGCACAACATGCCGTACTCAAGCCTTCCCATGCTCATATACTGTTAGTGGCCCATGAAGCCAAATCAAAATCTAATCTTGGCATCGCGTTATGCTCAAGCATACATGCCCACACTTACTAATTTGACAAAGTTATTTTTGCAAGCTATCACATCAAAATGGCCACAAACTTGAGGCTGATAAACCATGATCACGGAATTTGAAAGATTGAGAATGCAACGAAAAAGGTAGGTAAATAAGCGAAAATAAGAAAAGAGTGAGGGCTTTTTGTGCAATTAAAAAATAGTATAATAAAATAAAATTATGTTGATAATATAACCACCTCTAGGGATGGCAACGGGGCAGGGCGCCCTCACCCAGTCCCGTCTCACCCAAACCTCGCCCCACCCAGCCTTAGACAGGGCGGGGCAACTTTTTGCCCCTTTAGTTGAATTTTTTTTAATTTTTATTTATTTTTACATTTTCAAAATTTCGAGTTCTGTTATTATTAGAGAATAAAATACAAATTCAAAATGAATTTTTAACGGGTGAATTATCTAGAAATAAAATTATTTTTAATCTTTTTTTTTTCCTTTCATAGAGCGGGGTATCCTCACCCCACCCCATGCCCCACGATGGGGCGCCCCGTGTTGCCTCGCCTTGCCAACCCTTTCGGGATGGGACATATTTTTTTGCCATCACTAACCACTGCCACCCTTTCCATAAATCGTTTGATTTTGAAATTTCCCGACGAACAAAAACCCTAGCATAAAAAAAAAATACCTAGTGAAATATGAATAAAACTTAATAAAAGGTATCTAAAATGAAATCATATAGCTTATTAAGAATTATATTAAAAACAATAAATTGCAAATACCATCAAAAACCCTCTTTCGCGACAGATTAAAAAAAAAAAAAAATCAGTATTAGACTAATCAACATTTAATGTTATACAAGTATTTTAATACTAAAGTTGAGTTTGTACCTAACAATAGCCAAGTATTTATATACCTCCCCAATTTTAGTATTCTGACTGACATGAGAAACATTCTCACGCTTTCCCGACAGAAAATGAGCATGGGATCAAACGAAGTTGAAATTTTTTCTTAAAGGCACCCATATATCTTATACTTTATTCGTCCTCTGATTCCCCCTTTGACCATTTGTCTAATCCATAATACTGTACTGCTATGCCAACGGTACACTAGTTTGTCAAACTTCATCCAAATGATTAGAAGCAGCATATGATCGAGATTGATCATTCGAACTTCAAGATTCAACAAACTGTAGTCAGATAGTAGTGTTCGAATTTGAGTACATAGTATTAGACATCACTCAACAAAAATTACTATAATCTTGATTCAGCCCTGTTTGATTGGGTTTTGAAATAATGATTATTTGGAGAATGTGTGATTAAAAAGTAGAAAATGTTTTAAATTTATGTGCAAAAATATTTTATTGTAAGAACGTGTGGTGGAAAATGGATTTTAGAAAAAAAAATTCTTTAATGATTGTCAAATAGGAGGTGGATTTTACTGTTCAATCCCTTCTTTTCCAGAGAATAGACTTTCTGTAAAGCACACACTCCCCTGCTTTGCACAAAGAAATTCTCATCATGGTAAGCACTCTCTTTCTGCCTTTCTTTATTTCTCTCTCCCACATACACAAGTGCACTCAATGCTGCCTTGTTCATTTTATATACTCACAAATTAAGAGTTGTTGATCTTTCGAGTATATTCAATGGAGTTCACTACAATGAAAATTGTTGCTCTAACTACAATGTACATAGTGTTTTCTTTAGTTATGGGAGCCGAACAAGGCGGATTTTCGTCCATAAAAACGGATGCCGAGGCTCTTCTCTCCTTCAAGAAGATGATTCAGAATGATCCCAGTGGAGTTTTGTCAGACTGGCAGCCAAAGAAAGATCCCTGTAATTGGTATGGAATTACATGCACTCTTGGAAGAGTGACTGCTCTTGATCTTGCTCAGTCTAATCTTGTTGGCCAAGTCTCCTTTTCGCCCTTTTCTTCGTTAGATATGTTAACTGCCCTCAATTTGTCTGCAAATTCGTTTGCTATAAATTCTACTACATCTTTGATCCAGCTCCCTTATGGATTGAAGCAACTTGAACTTTCCTTTTCCGGGCTTGTCGGTCATCTTCCCGAAAGTTTTTTCGCAAAGTGCCCAAATCTTGTTTATGTGAATTTTGCTTTCAATAATATTACAGGTTTTCTACCTGAAAATCTTATGTTGCATATTGATAATTTGCAATATCTTGATCTGTCTTACAACAATATTTCAGGTTCAATATCATACTTGAAAATTGAATCCTGCAATTCCTTGTTGCATCTAGACTGGTCTGGTAACCAAATGATTGGTTCTCTTCCTCCTTCCTTTTCAAACTGCACAAAACTCGAAGAGTTAATTTTACAAGAGAATTCACTCAATGGGGAAATCCCGCCTTCTTTTGGTGAACTTACGAGCTTACAAAGATTAGATCTTTCTAAGAATCATCTCACTGGTTGGATCCCGACTGAACTGGGAAATGCGTGCACCTCACTGTCGGAACTTAAGCTGTCTAATAACAACCTTACTGGATCAATACCGGCCTCATTCTCATCTTGTAATTTGCTTCAACTTCTTGATTTGTCCATCAATAATTTAACAGGTCCTTTCCCTGACATGATCCTGCGAAACTTAGGATCTTTAGAGACCTTGCAACTTCAAAGTAACAGGATCTCTGGAGCATTTCCTGCATCTATTTCATTCTGTAAAAAACTTCGAGTCGTTGATTTTAGCTCCAATATGCTGTCTGGGATCATCCCACCAGATATATGTCCGGGAGCTATTTCGCTTGAAGAGCTGAGAGCACCAGATAATTCACTTTTTGGATCAATTCCATCTCAATTATCTCGATGTTCACAACTAAAGACAATTGATTTCAGCATAAATTACATTAATGGCACAATACCAGCAGAACTCGGGAATCTTGAGAATCTAGAGCAACTGATTTCCTGGTACAACAGCTTGGAAGGGAATATACCGGTAGAGTTGGGAAAGTGCAAGAAACTGAAAAATCTTATTCTGAATAATAACCATTTAAGTGGCAGAATCCCAACAGAGTTGTTCAATAGTGTTAATCTGGAATGGATT